GGGAGGGAGGGAAGGAGGGAGGGAGGGAGGGAGGGAGGGAGAGAGAGATCTCCTTATCTAACACTAGTTCACTCTGGGCACCTTCCCCAAACCCTGAACCCTCTTGCACCCTCAATCCACCCCTGATTCTGACATTTGCTGAATGGTGTTGTGTCTTTCCAAAGCTTTGCATGTCCGCCATATATGGCAGATTTTTTCTTCTGTCTTGTGGCATTTCCAGCACTGATTACCACATAATTTGATTGCTTTGGCCATTATTGACGGAGTTGTATACCATCTGTAAAAAAATTTACACCAATTTTCTCTCAAATCATAGTTGTTTCAATAAGACTTCCCATTGTTGTATTGAGACAAAGTCTTTGAAGTTTTGCATCCAATTTAACATAAATGCTTTCATTTGTTCTGTCCCCGTATCAGAACTAATTAGGTTATACTGTATATACGGTAGGTGATCTTCATTTTCAATAAGGATTTCAAATTCTTTCATTTTCTTAATGTCTATCATTTCTGAGGTCAGATTTTATTCTTCCAGCAATTCGTAAGTACATCAAATTCTTCCTTTGTCTTTAGTCTATTCCATGTTTGCACATGCAATTATAGTTTTCTTCAACATGAAAAGTATTCTCACAAAAGGCTAATGGTAAATTTATTGGGCATTATTTTCTGTGAAGAGTTCTGCATTTTTGTCAAGCTTTATTTTATAATTTGCTTTTCAGGTTGTGTTCCTCTTTTGTTTCCCTGTACCAGAGGTGGGTTCCTACCGGTTCTTCCTGGTTCGTTCCACTACCCGTACAACTGGTAGTGGTATGCTGGCCTGGATCGCAGATCTGGCAGCAACCCAGGCTGGACACGTCTCCAAACTGTTGCCACCACCATCTTTTTTTTAGTTCTGCAAATGCGCAGAACAATTTCTGTTGAATTGTGCATGCATGCGCACACGCAAAGTGCATGCACAAGCAAACTGGCAGTAACGCTGGCCAGAACTCACCCCTATCCTCTACCTTATGGATCCCAGTTCCTTCCAATAGTAACATTCTGCTGTCAACCAGCTTGTTCTAGAATACAGTTTAAAATTTGGAAGAGCAAGGCCACATTTCTTTTTTGAAACTTGTACAAAGTTTTATTCTACTCCAAATAAAATTTTCTTGACATTGTTGTAAATTGGAATTGAAATTCTCCCCATTTGACATATTTCAGTAAATTTTAAATTTACAGCTTATCATATATATGAGACTTACTGAACCTCATAGCTTTGTATGGAAAAGAAATGAATGTACAGTTGAAAAATAACAATTAAAACATAATGTCCTAAAACTGTGATGTAGTGATGTCCTGGAAAGAAGTCATTGCACATAACAATCTGATTTTGAGACATTAATTAATATTTTTGGATATCCGTATTATTTTGAACTACCTGTAGTTCTCATTTAGCGATTGCAGCATTTAACAACAGTTCACAGTTAAAATGATGATGAAGAAGTAACTTTATTATTACCTTCACAGATCTGTAAAGTAAAGAAAAGCTGAAGGAAGAGCATAAACATAATTACAGTATAATTGATTGAATTAATTTCTGAAATGTGTGTATCTATGGTTCATACTCTTCCTGAGGAAAAAAATTCATCAGGTGCTGATTTTAATGTCATTTAGCTGGCAGATCAAGAAGGAACCTTTTACCTACATTCAACCAAAAATACAGAATAAGTATTTCCAGATATTATCAAAAACAGGAAAAGTCTGCAGTCTGCATTGGCTGAGAACAATTTATTTTCAAATTTTAAATCTTGCTGGCTGAGCTCAGCATTACTGTATATCAGCATTACAGGAGAAGTCCTGTGTGGAATCACTATTTAGGATAATAGTTTTAAAATGGGGTATTGAAGTAGCTACATACCAGAGATGATATTGCTGCTGATACTGATCCTCCTCCAGGAGCAGCTGATCTTGCACCAACTTTCTGCACAAAGGTGTGAAGAGACAAAGACACCAGACAGTCTTTTTCTCTGTCATCCTCCACCATGTCCCTTCCGAAGGGAAAAAGCATTTGAAAAAAAAATCACTTTTTTAATCACAAAGTATAAAATGCTATGTGGTCCTTTGTGTTCTCTGAGTTTGGGGTTTTTTCTTGCAGATATTTCATTATCAGACTAGGTAACATCATCGATGCACCTAGTCTGGCAAAGAAATGACTGCAAGAAAACCACTAAGTTAACACCACAGATCCCACAGTTCAACCCTGATGTGCAAATATTCTCTTCTGTTGGTACTATAAAATGCTGCTTAAAAACAAAATGAAGTCAAGAAAGGAGTATACTCAGACATCTCTCTGCCGAATATAGGAATACAGACTTTTGGATGAGGAAATGATCCAAAGTAACAAGACGTTATTTGAGCCAGAAAAATGTTTTTAAAAATTGCTCACTTGGAATATGGTTTTGAGTTTCCCAAGCAAAAGCAGATCTCTTGGGATCATAGTGTTATGTGAATTAAATAGTACTAATTAAATTAAGTACTGGTAATTATTTAATTAAATCTTAAACAGGTGCAACACATTTGCATAATGATAAACTGGAAATGAAATGATTTGCATCTTTAAATTTGTGCTTAAGATACACAAAATGCTTTTCGGCAACTTGATTTCTGAAAAAGTTAAGAACTAAAGACAATGTTTGTTTCTGCAAATTGCACTTTTATCTGTGGCTCCATAGGTTAAGACCTATCTATATTCAATATAAATGGATAAAAAACATGCTAAGGACACATAATATGACTTCAATATATTAGAAATCCATATATCACCCATCCAGCCAAAGTCTTCAGACATACACTATCACCATACATCTGTGAGAAAATGAAAATATCCATACTCAATTATGCGCTCCTTAGGATTGAATGGAGTCAAAGAATCCAAGCCTAATCGATTAATTACCTGAGATTCAAAAATACAAATTCATATTATTAAATAGAAATTGGCATTTGAAACAAATGAAGGTCTTCTGTTCCTTATTTTTAAGTTTACATTGCACTGAGTAAACCACCATCAGGACAGATACTGGAACAATACGGGGTGGGTTGCTGCTGGCATTACTGCTGGTTTGCTGCATGCGCAATCACGCCTTGTGTGAAAAGAGGGAGGGTTGTCTTCAGGGAAGCTGCAGCAGCAGCTTGTGCTCACTCCTCAGCTCTGGACCTGTCCCCCTTTCTGGTATACCTTCCTCCCAGATCCCATTCCCACTTTGCCAGCCTTCATGTTAGTGAGGTTGTGTTCGGCCACGGCCGGGTTCGGCCAATGTCTCAGGGTGGAGAGCACGGCACACAACCGGGTCAGCAGGGAGCTGCAGGAGAGGGGTCAAAAAGCCACATGTGGCTCCGGAGCTCTGGGTTGCCGATACCCATACTAGATAAATCAGAGTTGACTAGATTTACACAACATGATAAAACTAAATAACCCACATTGTGATTTACCGCAGTGCAGGATCCCATTCTCTAGAAAGGTATGTTAGGTGATAACAAAGGAATAAAAAGTATCTTCAAACTAAGAACTTAGAAATATCTGTCATGAGAAATGAAAGGAAAACCATACACTGCAGTTTGAATTATTTTTGAAAAGGTAATGAACATCCAACTTAATGCATTTTATAGGACACATGAGGCTTTTAAAAACTTTTCTGTTATATAAAACCAAGATATAAATGGATATCAAAAGTTACCAGTCTAATTTTATGTTCCTCCTCAAGGATGAAGAGATTTTCTTTCTTGATATAAAATTCTGCTGCATCTAACATGGCCTTTTTAGGAATCAGTCCCACTAGCTGAGATCCTACTACTGGCAGATTGAGATCCTAGAAATAAAACCAGATATTTTATAGATCGTTACTGTTACATACTTACAGACAGTATGGTAGTTTCCACTCAGGTCCTCTGTTCCGGCAGGAACAATATTTGAATGTGATTGGTTGATAAAATATAAAGGAGTATAAAAGAGTTACTGCCAGACAGAGTCTTTGCTGGATTGTACATAGTTGTCACTTAATAAAGAGCTGTTTGTTGCTGAAGCCTGAGTCTGCCTCATCCATTCACCCTATCTAACACTGGTGATGAAGGTGGGATTGGAAGGCAACTAGGCACCAAAAAGAGCAAATACAGTCCAGCAAGTCAATCCAGACCGGAGCAAAGCATGGCATCAAGCAGCCATCTTAAAGCGGAAAATTCAAATCCGCTTGAAAGACAAGATGACTACGCACACCCTACTAGCTCTGTACCACCCAGCCACCAAGCACTGAGACTCGTATATGATGAGGTTCAAATGCTTCCTCGAAGCCAACAACCTTTTAGGCCTGTCCGAAGGCTGGAAAAAAGCAATGTTCCTGAGCTACTGGGGACCAGATGTATTCGAGACCACCAAAGACTTGTCTGAACCAACACCAATATAGTCAGTCACTTGGTTGGTCCTACAACAGATGCTGTGGACACACTACACTTCCAAACCATCTAAATACATGCGGAGGCATGAATTCAATTTCCACAACGAGAAAGAAGGGAAAATGATCAACTTCGGAAGGCTGCAGCCTACGGTGAATTCAGGGACTTAGATGAACTATTGCTGGACAGAATCATTTGTGATGTTCAGGACATTAGTTTATAGAGGAGGTTGCTCGCCAAGACAAACCTCACTCTACAAATTGCCCTGGACGAAGCCAGGACTACCGAATCTTTGACTAAGTTGATGGAAAAGCTGCAGAGGCAGAGCAGCCCTAAGAGTGTGCACAAAACTGCAGAAGTGCATCGCGAGACTACAGAGCCAGAGGCCTCACATAGCAAGGACGAAATCTACCGCATCTACACTGACCGTACAGAATTGCCACAGAAATTTGAAACACATTTTGCTCTTTGCGTCGGCTGTGGAGGCAACCACCAGCAATCTGCCTGCCGTTTCCGGGATGCCATCTGCCAGCGCTGCGAACAAAAGGGGCACATCGCCAGGGTCTGCAGAAGCAAATTCCCTGCAGCACCCAAGCAACCGAAGGGCCAACCTGCATGCCCAAGACCGCCAAGACAAGGCTTATGGCAGCCATGGCCAAAGCAGCCTGGGGCAGAAACCGACACAACCTTCCAGACCACCATCGGTCAAGCAAGCACCCTGCGGAACAAAAAGCTGAGAGTCACCATCCCCGTTGAGAATCTCCATGCTCTGTGGAGATTGACACCGGGTCATCACTGACCATCATGTCCGGGCTACGCTAAAGAAGGCTGTCCCCAACTTGAGGAGGCACAAGCTGAGGGTTCCAGATCTATGCCTGAGCGACTACCAGGGGAACCGAATCTCAGTTCTGGGCCAAGGCACTTTCCAAGTGCAATTCAAGTCCTTCGATGGATTGCTTCCTGTGACGGTGGTGGGTGGAGCCCTGCAGAGCCTTCTAGGCTTAGACTGGTTCGAATCCCTGGGCCTGGGGGTGACCGGAATCAACACAGTTCATGATGACAGCACGGAAGAGTTCCTTAAGGAGTTCGAGGACATCTTAGGCACCGGTCTAGGTAAGTATGTGGGAACTTGAATCTCTTTTAATTTGGACCCCAACGTAGCCCCTATTAGGCTAAAGCCCAGGAGAGTTCCTTTCACTCTCTGTCCCAAAATTGATCTTGAATTGGAGCAATTAATTGGCCAGGGAATTCTAGAGCTGGTCGATCACGACTGCTGGGAGACCCCTATAGTGACCCCGATCAAGCTTAATGGGTCTGTCTGCATCTGCGCAGACTACAAGTGCACAATAAATAAACCTTTACAACAAAGCGCTTATCCTGTGCCCATTGTATAGCACCTATTACATTCCCTTGGCCCAGGAAAGGTGTTCGCTAAATTAGATATGGTGCAGGCATACCAGCAGTTGCCTGTAGATGGTGCCACAGTGGAGGCCCAAACCATTGTGACGCATAGGGGTGCCTTTAAATGCACCCAACTACAATTCAGCATTAGTATTGCCCCTGGACTGTTCCAAAGTGTCATGGAATGGCTTTTGCAGGGGATACCAGGAGTCATCCCCTATTTTGATGACATTTTGGTATCAGCTGCAAATAAGGACCAACTTTTCACAGGTGGGAGATGCCACCTATAAAATATTGTATATAAGTTTTCTTTATACGGAATTAACAATGTTATTTTCCTAATCCTTTCCCATAGTTCTTGCCATTTTTCCAGATGTATATTATAGCCAAAGTTTATCACTATGCTACCATTGTCTCCTTAACCTGCTCTTCTTCCATCTTATATTCCAATAAAAATTTGTAAATCTTCTTTATCAATTTATTGTTTGTCCCCAAAAGGATCTTATCTATTGCCATCAGCTCTCTATTAATACCCCCCTCTTTCATATCTTTCGAGTAACATGATTGCATTTGAAGATAGGACCACCATTCCAATTCTATCCCTTGCTCTTTTAGCTCTTGCCTCGATCTTAATCTCCCTTCTTTGTCTATTATATCTTTATGGGTGACCTGTTTTCCTGGGTTGATAAAATTTGGGGGGACTACTGCTTCTACTGTTGATAGCCAAATTGGAACCTTGCTGTACGTTTGATATGTATATGTTCCCGCCTTTCTGGCTCAGATCTTGCTTTCCTTTTAGCTGCTTTCACTTCATATCTACAAATGTACTTTATCTCTATTAACATGGAGTTGAGGTTTTTCTTTCTTGGATATTTAAGGAGGCATGCCTGACAGGAGTAGAGATACCTGGGGGAATACGTAGCCAAAGTAACATTATTCTTCTGGGAACCAAGGACACTCTCACCAGCACTTGGAGGGACATGGATGGGAGGCATTTGGGATGGAGAGAGCAACTGATTGGGGGATGTGATGGTTATGAGTGATGGGGAGGGGAGAACTTTGGATTTGAACTGGGTGGAGAAAACCTGGGGAACTTCAGAGTCAGGTTTTCACCAGCTGTGCCAATATGACATGCCTAATAAATTATACTTGAGGAGCCCTGCCTTGGAGTTTTTATTTCATATGGGCCGTTACTTGGAAACCTGATAACAATTTGTCTGGTGATCACCATTTTGTCCCACAAGAAAGTAGGATAAAATGGCTGTCACGTCCACACAGCCCAGGGCTACATGTTCTGCCCTCCTTCCCCAACATCAGGTCCAGCAGAGAACTTTAAAAGGTAAGTGCTATGGGCATGTAGGGAGGAGGCCTAAGCACTGCAAAGTCATGGTGGGCGGGGGGGAGGTGGGAAACATTGTAACATCTCTGTGGTCAGTTGTAAGGGCAAATAATTGCAGTGGCATTGCAATGGTCCTAACTTTGAAGGAGGGTTGTATGTAATTTTTTTGGATATCTATTGTAATTTTGAATTTCCTTAAATAAACTTAATTGGGGGGAGGGATAAGTGCTTTCAAACTAGCCAAATTTTGTTGTGGTAACCTCACAATAAAAAATAGTATTACTATCCATGATTTTGGTTTCCTGCTCTGGATTACCTTGAAAGGTTGGCAGTTATGTAGAAATGAATAAAAGAGCTTCAGGGGGAATTTCAGAGAGGAAGCCCCAAGCCCAGTGCATTTTGCTCCACTTCACCCCAATCTCAGGTCCATTTAATTGATCATCTTTGTGCCACTCACCTTGGCATCCTTGCAAACTTCTTCATAGACCACATGAAGAGGAGTGGTTTCAAAATCCAACAGATTTGTAGAGACTTGAGCAATGTTTTCCTCATCCAAATACCATCCTATGCCTTGCACCTGTTTTAACCGCCCAGGCTGTAAGTGAGAAACAGAGAAGACTCTGAAAAGCAAACAAGTTCAGCCTTTTGTACTAGTTTCCAATTTGTTGACCAAATCTGATGACTGCCTTGACTTGTTTTGAGACTTTATTGGAGTGCAGAATAGGAAGATCTACAAGCCAACCTTCCCTAGAGTACCTGGTTCTTACTACGGCCCTGCTCCCGAATGTTAAGTGCTATCCGATGTGCTAGTTCCTTTGTACACAGCAAGTTGATGTTGTATGCAATGAGGAATTTTCGTGCTCCTGTTACAGTGGCTCCCCATCTTGGAACAAAGGTTGCAGGACCAAAATCAGGACTCCATTCTGCCTTTTTTAGCTTGAGAGGAAGTAAAGAATGTTTTTACTTTAATACTATGAACATGCTCTTTGCCAAATTTTATAATTTGCTGGAATGATTTGACATTGAAGTGATTTCAAAATCAGAAAAGACAATTGTTCTATGGATGACAACAATATATTGCATCAATAATCTTCGAAGAATGAGAGGGAAGATACAGAAGAAAAGATATGACACATAAAAAAAAGAAAAAGAACAAAAAAACTTAGAAAGAGGAGAATAGTGGAATGATATGACCCAGTAGAAAGGAATATCAAAAATAAGGTAAAATATATTTTAACTAGAATATATGGGAATTATATTAATAATTTTAAAGCTGTTAAATAATTATGATTATATAAAATTTGAAATTTGAAGACTGATATTGTTAATGGAAAACAGATGGAAAAGAAATAATAAATTGTTTATTTTTAAAGCGAAGGGAAAATTATATTATTTGTATATGTTAAAAACTAGAAATTGGAAAATATGAGAAGAAAAGTAATACGGCTAAAATTGGAAATAATGGAAATATAATGTAAAGTGAACTATGTTTATTGTAGGAATGTTAAAGGGGTGTCTGAAAATATTGATATATTTCTATTTTAAAAAATCTTCAAGGAGAATGAAGAGGGAATTAAAAAGAAGAAAAGGGGAAAAGCAAGGGATGGAGGAAATAAAGAAGGGAGGGAAAAGGGTAGGGATAGGAGGAGTAAGGGTGGGGGAAGAGGAGGAGAAGGAAAGAGGAGGGGGAAGAGGGGAAGGAGGAAAGGGGAAGAAGGAAGGAGGGAAGGAAGGAAGATGGGAATGAGAAGGAAAGGAAGGAGGGAGGGAGAGAGGGAGGGATGAGATTATGAGAGGGAGGGACAGTCTGAGGGAAGTCCTTCCTTAGCACTTTGCCACCAGCAGCCCTGTTGCTCTTTCGCCATTCCCCTGCCCCCTCCTTTCTTGGTGGTCTCCCATCCTATAATTGAAGATGCTTTGCTTACAAAGCTGGGTCTCCTTGCAAGGAGAGGCAATGGGCCTCCCTCTGACCCACACATTTTACCCTCCTGCACAAACCATGACCAACCTGGACAAGGAGAGCAAGCACAGTAGCAGCGGCAGCCTTGAGGAGGAGGTAAGTGTAGCCAGGCACCCCCTTGGGGAAGTAGGGTTGGGCTGGGCTGTGGGGTCCCTGTGTCATGGGCGTTTGCGGGCAAGGATGGGCACTTGCCCTCCAATGGCCAGGGCTCCGGGCAGGTGCCGCCATCCAGGGGTCCTCCATATGGCCTGAGCGGGACCTCAAGGCTCCTCTGATGGACAAGGGTTTAGCACTCGCCCTGGTCTTGCCTTCCTCCACTAGAGACAATGTATCCCCCCCAGCAGGGCCCCCACAGGCTCCCCCCAACATGAATGACCAGCCCACCCCAGCCATGCCTCCCAGCCCCCCAAGGTCAACCACAACCCTGATGCGGCCGTCAATGAAATCAAATTTGACACCCCTGGTATAGCTAATGTTAAAAATACTATTGTTATCTTACTTTCTCAGGCAGGGCTTCATATTCCCCTGCTCGGAGAGCAGGCAAAGATCTTCTGCTCTCATTCAGAGCTGCTTCACCATATAGGTACACTGCAAATAAAGGCTAAATTCACTGAGGGTTATCATTTTGAAATCTAAAGAGCCCGGTTTGCAAGAAATTAATGGTACATCAAAAGAATGGATAGGAAGCCTAGTAGCTGTACAAACCTGTGCTGCATAATTAGTGTTAGTTTTAGGCTTTGATAGCCCAGTTGAGATATGGAGGGCCTTCTTTTCTCTCAGGAGCCTATTCCTTTTTTATCATTTTTATACCTGCCATTTGCTTTTCCTGGGCTTCTATCCACAACCCCATATCATAATTTAGAGCAAAGCTAAAAAAAAAAAAAGTCAGGGGTTCCATCTGCTAGGCCTTGCCTGGAGAAGATTTAGAGATGAAAATTAAAATAATTTTACCTATGGGAAAACAGGATTGCTTCACTGAAACGGAATTGGTGGACTGAAATGAAGGAGGGGGGGGCATGAATTGGAATGTCCTTCTTTGGTTGATTGCCCAGTGCTTGCCTATTATGGATGTAGTAGTAGAACTCTAGCACCATCTTCTGGCTTCACACTTAGTGTTCTCCAGCATTGGAATACTGACAGCTTCAGAATAAAACTGAGCACTAAATTATTGCTCATATAGGAAAAGGAAATAATATTTAACAGTCTGTTCAGAACTTTATCGCAGCAGATTAAGAGACTTCCTCAACAGGTCTGCATAGAGTGTATCAAGACCTTTACTCAAATTTGGTAGGCATGTTGTCACTGAGCAAGAAGATCACAGATCTTCTTTGGGACTAGAACTTTCTGTGAATGGTCAAACAGAATTTTAAACTGAAATTGATTAGTCACTGCAGTCTTTTGGACCCAGCTTATTTTTCCATGACAGGCTCACCAGGCACATGCAGTTCATCTGCTAAGCATTTTCCAAAGAGATTAGCAGAACAAATGCACTCTTCCATGGTAACATTCCTCACAGGAATAAATGGGCAAACATCCAGTGCTCCCATTCGGGGATGTTCACCTGTATACAAAAGCAAAAAATTAAAAATGTGTAACAAAATCAGAAAGGATATCAGGAATAAGTAGTCATAAGATTAAATATACAGTATGTTTTGTTTTCATTTGTTGGGAAATATTGAATAAACTATACTAGTGGTCCCCAACCTTTCTAGAACCAGGGACCGGTTTCATGGAAGACAACTTATCCATGGAGTATTGGTAGTTTTGCACGTAATTTAGATCCCACACATGCACAAATGAAGCTTCACTTGCTTGCTCACCACTTGCATGGCCCGGTTCCTAACAGGCCACAGACCAGGGGTTCGGGACCCCTGAACTCTACCAAAGGACTAAGTTAACATTGAGGATCACTGCCAGGTGTGGGGAAAATAACTGATTAATGTTTGTGTTTTGCTTTCAGAAACATTGGTTCCAGGCAACACGTAGCATGTCACAAATTCAGGGCCGTACAGTCTTACTGAAAGAAGCAAAGTATGGATATCTTTCTTCTGAAATTTAACAGAGCCCTTTAGAGGCAAGATTTGGCCAAATTGAAGATGATATAAATTTCTATATTTATGCATTGGTGTCTGTCATATTCATATGCCAAGCAGAGGTGGTCAGTCTCATTGTCTAATCACACAAATCCAAATGCCTTTTACACCTGTCAATCCATCTTTTGATCAATATTTGTAAGTGTGGGACTTTCCAATCTTCCCAAAAATATAAAAACACATTGTATAAAGGAGGATGGAAATGTTTGCTTGGGTAATCTTATATTTATCTTATTACAAAGCCTCCAAGTAGCAATCTGTATAATTTTAGTTTTACAATATTTTCATGAGATTCATCAAGGCTATTCAAGATTCCTGTATGAGCAGTGGATTTGAGGTTGGGCTCCAAAAGTTCGATCACTGGTCCCCCATATGGCATTATCTAAAAGGTCAGGACCCAGAGAACTTTCATACGGAACCATCTGATCAGAGTTGTTGCAACACTAAACAAGTCTGCAGCCCTATATAACAGAACCTTTTGCTCCTACATTGATTCTCATAATTTGTCTCCTCTGATTACCTTTATGTTTTGCCATGTCAATAAGCTGAAAAGCAATTTTAGCTGCATTCAGTGCACCCAGGACAACATCCTCTGGATTTCCAACAAAGGTGTAAACAGTCCGATTAGTGGAAGGGCCTGCATCCACATCCAAGAGGCGGCAACCCTTTGTTTGAGAGATGGCCTTGCTAATCTCATCTATCACCTGTAGCAGAGAAGAGACAGAGAGCTTGGAAAGGAAGCACATGTTGATATACCTCAGTAAACTCCAATCACTTGCCTTAATTGGGAACTAGATTTCCATGTTCTTACAATTAGTCTAATTCGTTTTGCCCCGAAGAATTTAGGAATGAACTTTCCCCTATTACTTCAAACAATTATAGTAGAATCCCCTGATTAGGACTCCATTCAAGAGTAAATTAATCAAGTTGAGGAACTCTTACAAAAGACAACAGTTCTTAATCTAGTGAATGAAACTGCTTCTTACGCAGAACACTGATTGCCTAGTTTGGTATCTCTTCCATGGTTTCTGTTTATGTGTTCTGTTTAAGTGAAAAATATATAAATAAATATTTATGCCACATAAAAAACAAAACTATAATCTCACCTCATGGTCTTTTTCATAGTTACTTTGTAGGAAGAGGATGCTTCACACCTCCCAAAGTCTGTTTTCTTGGCAGTTTACAAGCAATTAGCCTTTACTTACTACCAGCAATTATCCCTCACTCACTTGCTAGTTTACTAGCAGTTAGTATATGCAAGTTATTAACATATGGTAATTTAAAATCTTGTTGCACAGATATCTGTGTCCATAGATGTAAAAGGCCTGTTTTTGGTGACTTGTAAAACATTTCCAAGAGTATTTGATTGTATAGAGATGATAGGTATGCTTCTGTCAGCTCTGCTAGATGAACCAGACCAGGAAATCAACTTCACAGGAAGATCCAAACTACATTTTATTGTGATTGATTGTAGTAATAAAATCTTGGAAGTGTGAGTGTGTTGTGTTGCAGCCTCCTTCTTAGAATTCATTGAATTAGGAAGGTGTCTGCTGAGTCACTTTCAAATGTTATCTGGTTATTTTGGATATTTAAAATGCTTCACTGTCTTTTGCCTTCCTCTATAACTCTGTCAAGATCATTTTTCTTACACTTTATAGTTTAATTCAAAAAGCTCAGGATTATAAAAGTCTCTTATAAAAATGAATTTCATAATTGTTTAGTGCTTTACACAGCAACACAACAGGTTTCCTTAGAAAGAAAATTATGTAGAACTTACCTTTTTATTGTTTCCTTCAGAAAAATTGGGAACACATTCCACTAACTTTGACATTATTCTAGTTGGAAGCTTATCCTTGTTTTAGAGAATCCTGGATGTATTTTTCCTCTGCTTTTTTGCTTTAAAGTGAAAGTAAAGTAGAATCTGAGTCTTTATAGCTTGTATCTAACGGGATTTCTCAATCCTCATTGTTTCTCATTAACCAAGGTACACCAGCTACAAAGAATTTTGTTAGCACTTTGGACTGACCTTTATTTTTTTTAAAAAAATTAGCCCTAGCCCTGTTCATCAATGTTGTGGTTCAGCAGCTGCAGCTGCATTTAAAAGCAGAGTTTTGTTGAAAATATACATTCATACTGCTCTGTAAAAAATTGAATGGAGATAAATAGAATTTTAAATTTTTCTGCTTGACCAAAAGGATCTTTATCCCCATCAAAGTTATGAATAGAATAGATTTTTCTTCCATGCACAGTTGTGGATGGAATGTTGTAGTAATTTTAGAGGCAATGCACAACAGTATTATTCAATTAGGCCTTGTTTAAATCAGCCTATCTCAGTATATTTATTACAACACACTTTTTAAAATGTTGTCTTCTATCCATTTAGAATCTTCCTATGTTTTATTGCAAATGTAACTATAATTGCACTGACTCTTTAGCACCTCACCATTTTCTGACCACAAGGTTTGAAATGTAAGTAAAGAACCAGAAATTTCCTCTGTAAGCCCTGTTTATTTACATTTATTTATTTAATCTCTAAATTGCCTCTGTTACCTTAGCAATTCTAGACAGTGCACATAATAATCCATAAATAAAAAACAGTAATAACAAAAGAGAAAAAATACAAGACAAAAAAGTGACAAACAAGTAACAGTAGAATTGTTAGTAACTCGCTGTTGGAAGTTATCACCCAACCCTCTCCCAGAAAAATGAAATATCCTAGGAAATATTGAAAAGGCAGAATATTATAGTTCCCTGGATGTGAAAAGGAAGAAACATGTTTTAAGAGAGAATAGCTCCCTGTAGCTTCCTGCCCCCACCCACTTTGTGGGCCATTAAGAAGGCCAAGCCAGTCCCTTTACATAATAAAGAGTTCTCCCCTTCAGCTCCAGGGGGATGGGATTAAGGCATGATAATACTAGCACTTTACCCAACTTGCCACATGGCATCTCAA